AGTCTCCTATGATAAATGTCTAAATATATTTTCTTAGAACCAACATTTTCAGAACCCATTTTTCCATAAAGCCAATTCTTCAAATAAAACATGGATCAGGGTTATGTTTCAAATTCTTAACAGTTAAGTTTTTTTTTTGCAATTAGCAGGAATGTTTAGAAATCTCATTTTATCTAGTAATGCCTTGCATGTCTTGATCAATAAGTGCTTGTTCTCACTGGAGTGTATTGAAACTTGTTTTTGTATCAACAATATTGTTTTAGTTAAGTGCCATTGAGTCAGTTCTGACACATAGTGAACCTATAGAGAGATTCCAAGAAGCAGCTAGTGGGTTTGAACCATTGACCTGGTGATGAGCAGCTTAGCGCTTATCTTGTCACACCATTGTATCAGCAATGTTTACCCTTAAATATAAAAAGTATGATGTGGAGAATTTGTGAGAAATTTTTGCATGTAAAGCTGTGACCCTGCCAAACTCTTCCTATAGGTGCCTGAACAATGCATCTTTTTGGGTTAACAGGAAATATTTCATTTATTTTTTTTCTTCCAGAAGTTGCATATAGGTTGAGATACATAAAACAACAAAGTAAAGGGACACTATGGACCTTTGTAAATAAGATCTTTATGATCAGAGTGGGCCAAATAGACAAGTAAAATTACCTACAGAATGATTTCTAAATAGGGCCGTAGCCCATCAAAGCAAGGCATATATTATCCTTTCGCTTCATCATCTGTTGTTTTTAAATAGAGTGTTAGGTTACTAATAGCTACTACTTACCAGGCTTGGGTTGTCAGTAAATTGATCCTTGCTAATTCTATAATTCAACCTTCTGCTTGGAAAAAAGAAAGGTTTCTAAAGAGAAAATTTGTGGTACCTGTATTGTCATTATGAACTCAAAGGAAAGCATAGGTTCCCCAGAGGTTTACCAGATGGCTTCCTGAAGAAGCCAATGAACAAAACTAGATTGAAAATACTAAAGCTTGTAAAACAGGCTCTGGAAGTTGAGTAACTAAAAGTTAGGCTAATATCAAGAAACATCTATGCACAGTGGAAGGACAAACTCTTCGTGGTGCAGTGCTTTCTGGAAGATGTGTCCCCAGCTGGTGCAGAAAGATGTCCAGTCTAGCTCAAAACATATGGATATACTGAATGAAATAGCTTAAATATTTTCACTTCAACAGTATTAAATTAGACTCAAAACAAAGAGAAGACATTATCTAGACAAAGAAGCAAAACAGAAAATCAGTGTCCTAGAGGCAAGCATGGTGGTTGTGGTGGTGGTGTGCCATAGAATTGGTTCCGACTCTGACTCTTAACAACCCTGTATAGCATTTCCAAGGCTGTAAATTTTTATAGGAGCAGAAAGCCTCATCTCTTTCCTGCGGAACTGACTGGTAGCTTCAAACTGCTGACCTTGAGGTTAGCAGTCCTACTCAAAACCACTACACTACCAGAGCTAATTCACAGGGTATTAGGATGGAGAGTAAATCTTTGGTGGCACTGAGATTCTAATATCTACACCCTCATAAGTCCACATACTATAGAGTTGAGAGTTCAGGATTCAGTTTCCATATCCACAGTTAACTGAAACTACCTGTATACAGTTGGAAATAAAAACATGTGGCCCCATTTCTAAAATGACAATAGCTATTCCACCACCACTACCACCACTCCTGCCCTGAGCTCTCCTGCCTGCCCAACTAGCTCAATTATAGAAGGAAAGATGCTTGTCATCCATAAAGAATTTGATATGGATAAAAAGTCATTGGCGACATGCTCTGATTGGTGACCATGTTCGCCACCAATAAGGGGAAGTGAGGGAAAAACAGCAATAAAACTGCAAGCTTAGCCCTACAACATTCAATAGACTCCTGTGAACCCAGGTGGAGACCTGGTTGGCCAGCAGTGTGGCAAGACCTGGGGACTCTTGGGCCCAGAGTCAGTGACATAGCCACAGAGGACTAGAGTGGAGAGTGAAGCGTCCAGCTGATAAGAAGAGAGAGCATATGTATAAGAATACCCACACTTGCTGATAATACCCACTTGACCTGGCTTCAATGACTGGATAATCAGAGCTCAACTAGAAGAAGAAAGGAGTTAAAAATAGAGTAATCTGATACAATTTGATGAATTTGACATACACCTATGGATGCCGTAGCTCAAAAGAGGGAACAAATCTTTACAGCAAGGATCATTCCCACCCCTTCCATACACAGAATAGACAGGGATGTGCAACTTAGACATTGGCTACCCAAAATGGGGGGGGGGGTACAAAGGCAAGAAGTGACTGGCTTATAAGCTTTCAAGAGGGAGCCTACATCCAGAGGGCACAGAGGAAGGTAGAATCTCCACTGAAGTACTATCCAATCTGTCTAGGTGGAGCTGATGAAAGGAGATGCAGATAGGTCTCTTGTGATATAATAGCGAATAATTGTTATCAGGACTGATTGTGAGGGTTGGAAATGTAAAGTTAGACATTTTGTAGCAAAAGGAGGGGAGTGATTGACTTTGAAGTCCAGGAGCAGAGGTCCATGGGACCAAAAAGGCGAGAAATTTAGGCCCCAAGATTGTGCCATCCATAAGCACTGGACTTGTAACCACTAAGTCAATGGTTCCAACCTACAATTCACTCCTTGAAGAAACTAAACAGGGCACACAACAACAGAAATGTGAGATAGAAAACTTAAATGGAGAAATGAACATTCAACTGATCTGGTCCATTAGATCCTAATGATGGGGCCAAGTGATGGTTCATTTGAATCTTCATGAAAGTTTGTTTCCATGGTCCTGTCACAGAGGTTTACATGAGAATCATCTTTGCTAAAGATTAGCTCACAGTCAAAAGTTACAAAAATCAAAAGGAATTACCACTAAGGAGAATCAATAGATCACATAAATGGAAGGACTTATATCCCAAGAATTAAGAAAAATAAAGATGGTTGGGGAGTATGTAAAATACAGTTACTTTTAAATAATATTTTAAAAATATAAATTTTATTTTAAAAATCAATGAAATTTAAAAAAACAAAAAAGGAAAGAAATGTTAAGGATATAAAAGGCAAAGAAAGATGTTCCAGAGGAATGTGTCCCAAATTGGAGGGTTTAAGGACTCATGGCAACTAAATGCAATCTGGGATCCTGGATTGGACCCTGGACCAAAAAATGATGTAAGTGGGAAATCTGAAAAGATTTATATGAAGCCTGTAGAGTCATTCAGTACTGTATCAATGTTATTTCCTGGTTTGGATCACCTTGCAAACATTACAAAAGATGTACACATTAAACGAAGCTGGAGAAAGGTGTATGAACATCTTTTTGTAAAGGATATATGTTTTAAGTTTTTGTAACATTATTTCTAAATAAAAAAGTAAAACAAACAAACAAAACACTATGACCCAGGGTTTGAAGAAGTGGGTTTGAAGGAGAGACGAAGCGGAGAGTGAGGCTGGTTTTCAAAGAGCCTTCCGCCCCAATTTGAGAAATACATGTTTATCCTTTTAAAAATGACCTTCCAAGAAAGAATTCAAATCAGAGGAGCGATGTTGGTCCCGGGACTTAGGAAAGCAGGCGGGGAGCTGATGGGGAAACCAAGACATCCTCAGTAGGTTCCTGTGAGACAGCTGGACAGGAGACTAAGGAAGGATTCTAGGAGTGAAAGGAGAACTTCTGGTCCCTTCGGTGTAGGGGAAGGAGTGAGAAAATTAAACGGAAAATGATTTTAGGGCCAACTGCTTTTGGAACCCTTCCCAGGTGAACCTGGCTGGCTGGTGAACCTCGAGGCGCTTTCACAGTTGAGGGTGGGAAGGCAGGGTTCTAGGGCCAGGCAGAAGGTTGGGTGGAAAACGTTGGCTCTTTGCTCTTCCTCAGGCCCATGCCGGACATTCTTTTTCTCTTCAACCCTCTTCCTTTTCCTTTAGCTGGAACAACACCCGGAGAGAGCGCAACAGGCACCCAGCTACTCACTTTGCCGCTGCGCCCCGGGGTTCCCCAGGTACCTGGACTTCCTGAGTTCACTCTCCGTAATTCGTTCATTCCTGTTCTTTAAATGCCCCCATCTAGCTTAGAGAGGAATCTGTTTTGTGCAATATTGTTGGAGGATCCAGTAGCCTTTGGATGTGGTCTTGTTTTCTGCGGTTCTCTTTGTTTTATAATGATGTCTGTCTTCTAACCACACAAACCGACACGCCAAGCATCTCTGGTATCATTAAATAGGAGTCCTGGCGTGGCTCTGTGCATTAATGCGCTGGACTGCAAAGTCTGAACCACAAAGTTGGTGGTTCAAGCTTATCAGCTGCTCCTCGGAAACCCCAAACAGGGTCTCTATGGATCGGAACCGACTCGATGGCACTTAAAAACAACCAAAATCATTAAACAGAGAGTTTGGCGTCACTAACTTATTAGCAGTTTTGAAAACTTTATGCTTTCCTCCAGAAAACACGAGTGACCTTGTTCGAAAAGTTAAATGTCTTTGTAGTAGGCAGATCTTAAGAGAGGATAGAAAAAGATCTGTAAATGTTTACACAAACAATTAAAAGACCAGCAAATTAAGATATAGAGAACCCTCCAAAATACTGAAGAAAAACAAAATTATTTTAAAAATAAGTAAACCACCAGTATCTGGTAACATTCCTACTTTAATTCAGGGTCACTGGGAAGTAAAACATTGCAGTAGCTGATACATGAAGCATTGCTGTTGTTGAAAAGTGCCATCAAGTGCCATAGAGGTTTCTGACTTACAGTAGCTGGTGGAGTGTGGTTAGCAGTCCAGTACTTATACTACAGCGCCACACCATGGCTCCAAGCATCAATCAAGCATAGATCCCAGCATGCACTAGGCCCCCAGTGTCCTTAACTTGTATTGCTTTCCATGCATCACTCAGTGTTTGGTGAAGGGAAATGTCTAGGGTGTATTTGCAAAAAATAAAAAAGTAAGGACATTATTTAAAATTTTTTCTGAATTATTTTCTATTTGTCTCCCCTTTTTTCATTTGATAGGTAGATGGCAAGCAAGAAGCGAGGTGAAGTCCAGCTGCAGGTGGGCATGGCATCTCAAGCGTTCTGTACTTAACATTTGTACTTGAAGACCATTTACAGTGTTTTCCTTTTTGCAGACTGTCATCAATAGTCAAAACTTGTGGGATGAGATGTTGCTCAACAAAGGCCTAACAGGTACAGGACTCCCCGCTTTCCTGCCATCCACTGCCCAGGACACCCCATTAGACCCCAGGAGTGAGTTTCTTCCCATGGATCATGAAACTATGCTAGGCCTTTGCCCTTCCTGCCCCAGCTTTGCGATAAGCTGCTATTCTGGGTTTGTTTGTTTGTTGTTGTTGTTGTTTTTTCTTTTTGCTCTGTTCTTTCATAAATATTATCATCTTCTAGTGATCGACGTTTACCAAGCCTGGTGTGGACCTTGTAAAGCAATGCAAAATTTATTTAGAAAATTGAAAACTGAGCTGAATGAAGATGAGATTCTGCATTTTGCTGTCGTAAGGATTTCAATTCCATTAGCCACTGTTTCCTTGTTACTAGCTAAGTGTTTTCTCTAAGTAGTCTCTAATACTCAAAATCAATTTAGACAACCTTCAAAATAGACAATGTTTACTTGGCACTTTTACTATATATAGTTCTCCCGTGGTTGAGATTGAATGTGATTTTTGTCACTTTTCTGTATTGTTGACGTTATTCACCATGAATGGTAATGTTAGAAAAATTGACCTGTTTGTTTCCTTCTGCCACATGTTCAGTATGTACCCCTTGGAATAAGGGGTGTATGTTGTGTATGCTATTTACTGAGGGCCCCTGGTGGCACAGCAGTGAAGTGCTTGACTGTTAACCAAAAAGTTGGCAGTTAAAGCCCACCAGCTACCCTCCGGGAGAAAATTATGTAGTCTTCCATAAAGATGATAACTTTGGAAACCCTCTGGGGCAGTTCTACTCTGTCAGACAGTGTCACTGTGAGTTGGAATTGATCCAGTGGCCATGGGTACACTGTTTACTGGATAACATTGAGCAACACTTTGGGCATTTACCCGGTGACCAGTCTTCCAATCCCATGGATGTGCCACCTCCCAGATGTGACAAGGAGTTAAAAATCTTCAGTCCAACATATATGACTTCATTGAATTTTATTGATATCAGAATTTACCCACATCAAATTATCAGCTGATTAAACCTTTATGGTTCACTGTAGCAACTAGACGCAAGTTTAGTGAGATGGATTGACGCAGTGGTGACAATAATGGACTCAAACATAGCACTGATCGTGAGGATGGCATGGAACCAGGCAGTGTTTTATTCCATTGTGCATGGAATTGCTATGGGTTAGAACTGATTCGTGTCACATAACAATAATAGCAAGCAATAGTATGACGTATTTAAAATGTAGCTAGTGACACCAATGAGCTGATTATGTTATTTTCATGACTGAAATTTAAAATGGAAAACTTTATTCAGTTATTGAAAACTCAAAAGTTCGAAACAACTTAGGTATGTAAATTTAACTTTTCAGCTGTAAATTTTATGGAACCTAATATTAAGTAAGTCTGTTTAAAATTTTTCATCTGAATTGAGACATGCTATCAATCTAATATCATTAATTTCACATGCAAGTAAAATTTTGCTGAAGATCATTTTAGAATAGCTATAACAGTACATTAATAGGAAAGTGCTAGAGGTTAAAGCTGTTCCCATTCCAAAGAGAGGTGACTCAACAGAAGGTGAAAATCATTGAACAATATCATTGATATCCCATGCGAGTAAAGTTTTACTAAAGGTAATCAAGAAACAGCTGCAAACGTACATTAACAGAGAACTTTCAGAGGTTTAAGCTGGTTTCAGAAGAGGATGTGGAATGAGGGATACCATTGCTGATGTCAGATGGATCTTGGCTGAAAGCAGAGAATACCAGAAAGATGTTTACCTGTGCTCTATTGACTATACAAAGGTTTTTGATTGTGTGAGTCATGATAAACTATGGACAACATTGCAGAGAATGAGTATTCCGGAAGACTTAAGTGTGCTCATGAGGAACCGGTACATAGAACAATAGGTGGTTGTTCAAACAGAAGAAGAGAACACCGAATGGTTTAAAATTAGGAAAGGTGTGTGCCAGGATTGTATACTTTCACCGTATTTATTCAATCTATATGCTGAGCAAATAATCCAAGAAGCTGGATTATATTAAGAAAAACATGACATCAAGATTGGAGGAGGACTCATCAACAACCTGCGATATGCAGATGATACAACCTTGCTTGCTGAAAATGAAGAGGACTTAAAATACTTACTGATGAAGATCTAAGACCACATCCTTAGGTATGGGTTTCACCTCAATGTAAAGAAAGCAAAAATCCTCACCACTAGACCAATAAATAAGATCAAGATAAATGAAGAAAAGATTGAAGTTGTCAAAGACTTTATTTTGCTCAGATCAACCATCAACACTCATGAAAGCAGCAGTTAAGAAATCAAATTATATATTTCTGTGTTCTTTTTGCTCTTTCATTTTAGCAGTATTGAGAGATTTGTCTTCAAGCTCACTGGTTCTGGCTTCCATTTCTTCAATTCGACTCCTTTGCCGTTTCAGTATATGTACATTTATGTCATTTTATTATTAATTGTTTGAATCTCTTTTTGCAAGTTTTGAATAGTTTCCAATGTTATTTCTATCTTATTTGATTGTTCATGTAGCATTTTCCTGACTTCTTCCTTATTTTTCTCAACCCTTCTGTGAAGTGTTTGGATGCACTTCAATATAATTCTCCTGAATTCCTTATCAGGCAGTTTCAAAGCCTGCCCTCCTTCCAAAGGGAGTTCTAGGTCTACCTTCAGATCATTTGATTCAGCTACTCTGTCTAGTTTCTGGAGTCCTGATGTGGTGCTGTGGGTTAATGCGCTGGACTGCAAAGTCGGTTTGAACTGCAAGGCCAGTGGTTCAAACTCACCAGTCACTCCTTGGAAACCCTGCACAGGGTCACTGTAGGTTGGAACTGACTCAATGGCAGTTAACAACAATCTAGTTTCTGGACATGAACTGAGATCTTCAATTGTTTCTTGGGCATTTTCAATAATTAGATGTATTTTCATTAATGAGATGAATGTATGTTGCTATTATATTATTAAGCTTTCCGAGTGCTTCCTGGTTGATGTGATCGGGAGATAGCCTTCCCTTTTCAATTCTAATTACTCAACTGAGAGGAGTTTTAGCCAGTGTTGGTTGTCTATCTGGTGTATAGAGCTGGTATTGCCTCTTGCCCGGATGGTGGGATTTTATAGGGTGTGATTGTAGCTTGGATTTATGGCCACAATTGTTGTCTCTTCTTGGGAGAGAAAAAGCCCACCCCAAGGTAAAAGGAGGACTTAAAAAAAAAAAAAAAAAGCCCATAGCAAAATAGTTCAGGAGTTTCTCCTAACGGGAAACAGTTCACAGCTGAACTGATCTGTGCACATGTGCAGTAAAATCCTCTGGGGGTGGAAGGGGTGTCTGCTCAATCAGGCACACCCTCTAGTCACCAGAGTGGAGTGCACAAACAGAGAAAGGGAAATGAGTGGAGGAAAGGTTTTTTTGTACCCTTATCTCTCATCATTGGTTAGGTCTTTGTGGTGGGATTTCTGTCCTGCTGTGGTATTTGCTGGGACCTTCTCAAGACTTACCCCAAACGACTTATTGCATTAGGCAAATATACTGTACAAGACCTCTTTAAAGTGTTCAAGAGCAAAGATGTCAGTTTGAGGACTAAGGTGTGCCTGATCCAAGTCATGGTGTTCTCATGTGGAAGTAGGACAATGAATAAGGAAGACTACAGACAAATTGATTCCTTTGAGTTATGGTGTTATAGGAGAATATTAAAAGTACCAAGTACCCCCAAAAGAACAAATCTCTGTTGGGAGAAGTACAGTCAGATCCTCCTTAGAAGCCAGGATGGCCACATTTTGTCTCCCATACTTCATACATAGTATCAGGAGGGCCTATATAACTTTATACATAGTATCAGGAGGGAATATATAACTTTAGACATAGTATCAGGAGGGAATATATATATATAAAGACTTGGAAGCCTTAATAAAAAAATAATAATGTGAACTAACCCTTTAATTTATTTTTACATTTATATGATAAAATGATATATTTTTGATACATTAAATTCAGTAAAATACATTATTACATTTGTTGTCTTTTTTTTTTTTTTTTTACTTTTTAAAACTAGGTTTTTAGAGAATTTAAAGATATATGAGAGGGCTTCAAAAAATTCTTGGAAAAATGGAATAAAAAAATCATGGGGTTTTTCCAGAAACCTTTTTGAAGGTTCACATTGTGTTTATATTGGACAAAACCCCATCAAAACCAACTAGATCTAAGATGCAAAAGCACATAACCACTTGTTTACCTTTATTGTTGTTGTCAGGTGCCATCGAGTCGGAACCGACTCATAGCGACCCCATGCACAGCAGAACGAATCAATGTCCGATCCTGGGCCAACCTCACTACCGCCACCACACTTGATGCCATCAATGATGCCACCTGCTTTAGCTTCTCTACACTGGAAAGCAAGTTTCAGAGTCTCTTCTGACATCCATTTTGACCTTTTCCTTCTTTCTTGTCTTCTTAATGACTTTTTGCTCTCTTCATGTATGATG